TTTGCATTTTTCTTCATGAAAACAAAACCAAATAACATGATTCCAACACATTTAGAAAGCTAGATGAAAGGGCAACAAATATCATATCGTGGGAAAATTGACCAAAAAAGGAAGGTGCATTCCCTAAAAGAGCAATCAACACTGACAGACTACAAGAGTCAGATATAGACTACCAAGTTTACTGATAGACTACAAAAAAGTTGGACATAGGCTACAAAGCTTACTGATAGACTACAAAAGACTACAAAAGTCAGACTTAGACTACAAAAGCTTGGACTTAGACTACAAAATTAGGGTTACATTAAAAGGTTTTGTAGTGTCCGCTTTTTCATTAGAAAAGTTTATAGTGTCCGCTTTTTTAGACTACAAAAGTTTGTAGTGTGTGCCTTTTCATTAGAAAAGTTTGTAGTGTCCGCTTTTCAGACTACAAAAGTTTGTAGTGTCCGCTTTTTCATTAGAAAAGTTTGTAGTGTCTGCTTTTTGAGGCTACAAAAGTTTGTAGTTGACATATAGTTTATAGTGTCCTTGACTCTGTATAGGTTATGGGGATGAGGTTAAAGGATTGACATGATTTTACATATTGCCATTGCTGCAGCATTTACTTTTGACATCATGTACAAATTGTCTTTCACATCAAGAATGGCTATTCTATGCCTTCATATTGATAGCTACTGTCCTATCTCAAATCATGGTTCTAGGTCCATGTGGATATGGTTTGAAGGATTAAATTGCTTTACATATTACTACTGCCAAATGATTACTTTTTGACATCATACCCAAGTTGCCTTTCACATCAGGACAGGCTATTCTCTGATTTCACATTCATAGTTGCTGGTCTGTCTGCTTTCACATTGATAGCTACTTGCCTGTCCCAAACCTAGTCAACTGTGATATCAGATCTTTCAGGGCAATAGGATGAGCTGATTGGTCCCCAGAAGTATCCTTAAGTCAGGTCATGATGTAAGTTAACAATGTATTGAGACAGAACAGTAGATATTACTATGAATGGCTTTTTCTGGCTTGAAAGCCAACTTGGGCATGATGTGAAAAGCTGATGATGTGGCAATAGCAATCAATATGTAAAGTCATGTGAATCCTTTAGCCAGTTCCCCATAAACCTACAAATATGGTTTGAGATAGGACAGTAGCTATCAATATGCAGGCATAGAATAGCCTTTCTTGATGTGAAAGACAATTTGTAATGATGTCAAAAGTAAATGCTGCAGCAATGGCAATATGTAAAATCATGTCAATCCTTTAACCTCATCCCCATAACCTATACAGAGTCAAGGACACTATAAACTATATGTCAACTACAAACTTTTGTAGCCTCAAAAAGCAGACACTACAAACTTTTCTAATGAAAAAGCGGACACTACAAACTTTTGTAGTCTGAAAAGCGGACACTACAAACTTTTCTAATGAAAAGGCACACACTACAAACTTTTGTAGTCTAAAAAAGNCGGACACTATAAACTTTTCTAATGAAAAAGNCGGACACTACAAAACCTTTTAATGTAACCCTAATTTGTAGTCTAAGTCCAAGCTTTTGTAGTCTAAGTCTGACTTTTGTAGTCTTTTGTAGTCTATCAGTAAACTTTGTAGCCTATGTCCAACTTTTTTGTAGTCTATCAGTAAACTTGGTAGTCTATATCTGACTCTTGTAGTCTGTCAGTGTTGATTGCTCTTTTAGGGAATGCACCTTCCTTTTTTGGTCAATTTTCCCACGATATGATATTTGTTGCCCTTTCATCTAGCTTTCTAAATGTGTTGGAATCATGTTATTTGGTTTTGTTTTCATGAAGAAAAATGCAAAAAACCAAAAAAAACACGACACTTTTGGAATTCCTTTACCTCATATCTCCACAACAGGAGCACTTCAGAACATAATTCAACCAGATTCGGGAAGCTACAGTGCAGGGGTACAACTTTCGCTTTTTGACTATTTTTGGTAATTGGTCATGTGACCACCCTCCCAACAACCCATGTGATACATATCATCATTATTATATAGTTTTCGGTAATGAAAGTGCCAAAGGGCCTAATGAAATATCCTAATGAAAAATCGAGGTCTTTATTGTCCCCCACTGATTCCTGCAGGATTCCTGAGGATTCCTGAGGATTCCTGAGGATTACCAGGACTCTATATTGGCTGATGTGCCAGCCAATTTTTTGAGTCCTGTGAGGGTCCATTCCTGAGGACTGAAGACAGTCCTCAGGATTTTCGGACAGGACTAGTCCCAGGAATGATGCATTTGATGAGTCACATGACCCATGAGCATGTGCTTGGATACATCATGTGATGTGATGCATCACGTGCACATATTTGTTGATGATAGTTCTCATATGTGACACGTCATT